AGCCTTGCATAGCACAATTATCCTTAGAAATCCAGTTCATTTACCACGAACTGTAATGGCAACAATCATTTTTTAATAGTTCCTTCAAATTCACATAACTGTATCTTCACATTGTCATTAGTCTGTAACATATCTATTAGCAAGATCCTGCTAATTGCTTAAGGGTCCTAAAAGAAATAGCTTCCACCTTTTCCACTTCATGCATTATGAACATCTTTGAGGCATATATTTTGCCACTTATGTATTTTTTCCCTAGTAGAACTTTAAACCTAACAGTATGTTAGATTGAAGTTCCACAAGAAGTGCTCCCAACTAAAATGCTGCTCTCAAGAAGGGTCCTGAAGAAAGATAGGAAAACAAGTGAGAGAACAGACACTCAGCCTGGATTAAGATATACAGGTTTGATACTCATGAGGTAAACCTAAAAGTAAACTTAGAAAAGAAAGAGGACTGAGACAAAAACTAGGAGTTTCACTAGGACATTATAATGCAGTTTCTTGACCTGATTCAATTTTGAAATAAGCTATCCAAAAACATCTCTAAAGCTGTATCAAAATTATCTACATTCTCTTTAGGCCATTCTCTCTCATCCCACAGGAGTACAAAAGCTCTCCCAAGGAACAGAACTCCACTGCCAACAGGAGCTACAGACTGCACACCTGCTCCACTCCCATATCGGAACACAGCTGAGCCCAAAAGGCTTCCCTGGGTACTGCACAAGTGACACACATCTTCCTAAAAAGTCCCCTTTCCCCCCTCCTTCTAGTAAATCTACACTGGCTTTCTACTCCAAAGGTAGGTCAGTTGAGCTATTCTCAGTACATACTGATATTATACATATGCACACATTGTACAAGACCTGCGACCAATCTTATTTCAGTTGGTATTTTGCACTGCTTTAAGTCTTATTCTAAGAAGTCACATTCGGCTTTAGGAAAATTAAGTTTCACCTTACTCTTGCAAACAGGCAAGAAAGTCCTAAAAATCAATAATCTCTGTTCAGATTCATAAAACCTGTTAACAACCGACAATACAGTATGGGCCAAGTACTGCTTATTCAAGAAGTATAACAAGGCCACAACGCAGTACACAAGCCCTGACAAAGCATTAGTGCACTGTTTTTAAGCCTGCTTCAGCCAGACCCCTTCTCAGGGTGCAGCTGGAGTTGCCCTTGGGTAGTACGGCCCTGCAGCCAGCCAACAGGCTTTCTACTGTCCTTCCCTCCTGCTTGTTGTGTTTTTCCCTTGCAAGTCTATGTACTCCTACTGCATGTTCCATGTCAAAAGTATCTGGCATGCTGAAATTCAGATCAGTATTGTGGTATCCCCCAAATCCATTAAATGTGCCAAACACATGCTCTATAATTATAATTGTCTGGCACAAGCAGTGTTCCTCCTCCCTCCCCCCGTGATGCTGGCTAGCTTCTGCATGCTTTTAAACAGGCAAGATGTAGGATGTCCCCTGAAGAATCACAGTTGGCATTACAACTGAGCCAAATACCTACCCTGGAAAGAACCCCTCCACACAGCTCATTTCTAGGGGTATAAGCAGCATCCAGTCAACCTTAAACTAAAGCAAATACAGCATTTCGAGACATTCAGTAGTGGTTATACACCTAACTCAAAAACATCACTATTTAAACACTCAAAGAATAGGATGGGAAAAACTGTGAATCCCTGAAAATGGAAGCCTATTCAACATAGGTTAAACATACCACATGTTCCAGGTTAGACAGTGAACAAAGGTCAGCTCTACACTTGACAGGTAAGAAGCATATAATTTCACTGAAAAAAAGTAACACTTAGTGATACCCCCAGGACTCCATTTACCATATTCTCATAATTCAGGATATTGGTGAAGTCTACCAGGGTTCCTTTTATAAGCACAACCTTTCAGTATTGAAATGTTCTGCAGCTACTGCTGTTGCCATGTATTCACCATCATTAACCACAACCACATCACTCAGTCCTCAATTCAAGCAGCATGCCACAGTTTCACTCACCACTCAAATTTTCTCATTTTCACTACAGTTGGATGACCAGAGCAACTATAGCAGGATACTGTCTTTAAAAAAAGAAAAGTCACAAAAATAGTCACATATCCTAAAATAAACACATAATTTCGTATGTTTGTACAATGGTCATACAGCTCTGAGACACACTAAAGAGCCAAAAAACCCACTCCAGAAAACGACACTTTTGGAGTTATGGGAATGTTAGAAAGAGAACAATAAGAAAAGGTTGCAGCTGTCTAGTAAAACGGGGAACTAATGAGGTCAAGAAGTTAACTAATCATGCAGAAAGCTGAATTCATCACCAGTTTTAATCTTGTTGTGCTGTTACATGTTTAGCTTTCCCCCTCTTCCCCAGAAAAAAAAACACACCTTAAACTGTTTCTCACTGTTATTTGGTAAAACTTTTAGCACAGCAGTTACAAATACAATTATACATGGTCATAAGGGCTCAGGATTTGTATCTAATTTCCATTCTCATGTGTCAGAACTGAGAGTGATGTGGTGGTTCTTAAGACTTCCCTGTTCCACTAAGCCTTTTTTTGATGAAAACTGGATTCAAAAAGAGAAATGTATATTTTTTCATTATTATAAGTTACCTTACTTATGCTGATACAGCAAAACACCTTTCACTCATAAAAATTAACTGAAATTATGCAGAAACAATTTTTAATTAGTTGGTGGATAGAGTCCTAGGAAGAATAAGATCTATGTTCTTATAAACCTGGCCACACTGGATCAGACGAAAGGCATATCTGCACAACCATGTTCTCTCCAGCAGTGGCCAAAGACATATTCTTACTGACTGCTGGAGCCACATGTAGCTTCTAGAAGCCATGGTTTTGTGACATACCATTTTTATGCGTAACAAGAATAGGAAGATCCCACCCTCTTTTTAAATATTTTATAATTTCAAATCTCAACTTTGAATAAGCTTGTCATATAGCTGAAATGATGATCAGAAATGACAAAAAAACTACCAAAACCCACACATAAGAAACAACAACAAAATTCCTCAAACCAGGCTGAAAAATTCATCTGAAGACATGCCTTCAGGCACAGTGCTTCCGATACACACTGGAAAGAAGCAGTAGATGTCATGATGCTGCTAGCCATTATTGTCTAGCAGCATAGAAGAAACCACGCTTAAAAAGAATAATGATCTTATTAGACCTGGAGATGCAAGTTGGAAAAACTAGACCAAAGCTCCTTCAGAGACTTTTTCAGGAAGCACAGAGGTACACTTTGTTTTAAAATCATACTGGCAGTTAAAGAAGATCAGAAATAGAACCTTCATCTCTACACTCCTTTTCTGACTTGGCCATAAACCATATCTTCTTTCCCCACCTTCCCTCTAAATGATCTATATTAACTGTAATTCCCTTTGATTACAGCCACTTTTAGTCTTTTTGCTTTATCCTCGTGCCAGAAAGCCTTGTTATATACTTTGGAGAAGAAGAGAAGAGATCCAGAGGAGATGTATGATTTGGAGCGGCAGGGGAGACACAGGTCCACAGAGGTCCCAGGCAACATACAGGCTAGCTTTCCAAAATTTCTGGAAGACATACTATATATAGCCTACTAAAAAGAAGCTATGAATTTTCTTGAGTACAGGAGACACATATTCTATTCTGCAGAAAATATTTAAGTTTTATTAAATCTGAAGTACAAGTTACAGACATCTCTACCTAATCACAAAATGATAGCATATTATCCTACGTCAGCAGATTCAACGTTTAGTACAGTTGAATATTACACACTAGCTCCTATACAAGAGGAAAACCAAACAAATATACAATTTGCTAAGGAGATTAATTGGTATAGTCAGGACTACAAAGCACACATCTCAGTAGCCAGGACACCCAAACTTGTTACAAGGAACCTTCATATATTACTTTCTACGAGCACTTTGGTAAAGGTGCCTTAAAAAAAAGTGCACATGCACATATTTACACTACTATACCTACTGTAGAACGGAAACATTGCTTGTGACCTGCTAAAGAAACACAGTGCCTCCTATTTCTCCTCTAATGGCAACAATGATAAAGCAAGCTGTTGCTAAAGAGAACATGAAATAGCTGAGTAAAACTGTTACTGGGGGAAAGAATCGTAAACTAGGATCCCTCTCACCCATCCAGCTACCTAGATGTTTACTTACCCAAAACTTGTAGAAACTTTATTAAGTGCGAGACCTGTGATCCTTTACAAAGATGATCAGTAAGTTCCTAAGTTAGGCAGTCTCATTTCCTTATAACCAGAAATACTAACATCATGGATGGATTTGTCCTATGGGACAAATGCACAGACATGGAACTCACAGCAAAAGATCCCACAAACGTCAAATACCTTTATGGTTGGGCACAGCCAACAAAAATTTGCAACTACTCAGAAACAGTTTCATGCCCTCTCCTCATAAAAGCATTTTTTTTTTTTTAAATTTCTTTACAGAAATAAACGACTACAAGCATCTCTTTGAAACTGCCAGTAGTCTCCCACCACCCCGGAGCCAGAGGTTTCTCAAGAGGCGGAGCGGGGAGCGGTGGCAGCAGAGGGGCCCTGCCAGCCAGGCTGCGCGCTGCCAGCAGGGAAACAGCCCTGCCCTCGGCCCGTTGGCCCGCCTGCCCTGCAAACACCAAGTTCCGGAGCAGAGACCAACTCCTGCGCCCTGCTCAGCCACCTCTAAAACGCCCAGCGCGACAGGCAGGCGCCAAGCCCCGTCACAAGCCAGCGGCTCCGCCGGGCCCGGCTCAGGGCGGGCGAGAGGGCGCCGGCCGCCCCCTGAGCGGGCCCCGCTACCCGCACCCAGCCCTGCAGCCATCCCCTTCCCAGGGACAGCGCTGGCACCTACCGGCCCTCCTTCTGCCTGCCCCCCGCACCCACCTGGAACTCCAACCCGTAAATCACCGGCGCATCGTCCTCCATCGCCGCGACCGCCCCCGCTCCCCGCCGGCCTTTCTGGCCCTCGGCGCTGCCCGTCGCGCAGCCGCTTCCGGGAGGGGCGCTCGCGCCTGCGCGCGGCCCAGCCCCTCCCGGCGCAGGCGCGGTGGTGGAGCGGGGGGTGTCGCCGCCGCCGCCGCGGCGCGGAGGTGAGGGGAGGGGAGGTGGGGGGGAGCTGTTTGTGGGACGCGCGGAGGGGTGCGGAGGCGGCCCGGGAGCTCCCGGCCCTGGGGAAGGGCGGCCATCTCCCCCCCCCCGCCCCGCCGGCCATCCCTCGCCGCGGGGCGCTCCGGGCCCGGCCGTGGCGCCGGGGGCAGAAGCAGCGCAGCCTGCCCGGCCGGCCCCGCGCTCAGCTGCCTGCGCCGGTGACAGCCGGGGTCCCACCCTTCCCTTCTCTTAAACGGGGACCGGGGCAGTCTTCGCGGGCAGAAAAGCGAATACCGTTTCGTCGGTGTTTAGTGGGAGGCGTTTGCTCTTCAGTCGCAGCGTTCTTGCGACTTGCAAAAAGGATAAAGAGAAAACCTTTTCCAGAATTAATTTATTCTTCGGGTAGATATGTTAAAGGTGTCATATAGCGAAATTGCTCTATTTTTAAATTACTGTATTTTTAAAGCGAGAATTTCAGTATTGGTACGATACTTAGGAGTTTCAGAGTGGCACTTGGGCAATACCTCAGTGATAAGACTAATACTTGTTTTGGTGGGGATTTTTCCCTCTTCAGCTGCCATGGAGAATAATGAAAGTAATGCTAAGGATGCGAAGACCATGTTGGCTGAAGATGACAGCGGAGACGTAGTTCAACAGAAGGCTCGGGAAGAAATTCTTTTCCATGAGGAAACCATTGATCTTGGTGGAGATGAATTTGAGTCTGAAGGGAATGAAACTGTATCAGAAGATTCAAATAATTTTGTAGATAAACTTAATGAACAAATGATGGAGAGTGTAATTATTTCAGATTCTCCAAACAACAGCGAAGATGACACAGCTGAACTTGGTTGTCTCCAGGAGATAGTAGAACAGATGGAAGCTAAAGATACTCAAAAGACACAAGAAGAAGTGGATAAAGAAGAGTTTTTAAGTAACGAGAGTGAAACTGAACACGAAGAAACACCCAAAGACATTTCTGAGATCGGAACAGATGATCAGGCATCTTTAAAGGAAGAATCAATTCAAGAAGCAGTGAAGGAGGAACCAACGTTGAGAAACAACATTCATGTTGAAGCAAAACCAAGTAATACTGGTGAAAGCCAACCTGAGGATGAGACATCGTCACCTAGTACTAGCAAACCATCTTCTGAGGCTGAGCCTATTCCTGTGTGTACCATCTTCAGCCAAGCAAACAATGTTAATACGCAGCCACAGTTGTTCCTACCTGATGGTTTTGAGCCTCAGATGGTAAAATCTCCCAGTTTTAGTAGTATAATTGAGACTCCTGTGAAGTCTAATCCACAGGTGGTTCAACCGAGTCCGAGTCTAAGCAAGTTCTTCGGCGATACTGTTAACACTAATACTTTAGCTTCTGATTTTTTTGATTCATTTACCACATCCAATTTTATTTCTGTTAGTAATCCCAATGCAAGCTCTTCAGTTCCAGAACAAATGTCTTCTATTTCTAACGGTGGAGACAGTTCTTGCACTTCATCTAATGCTACTTTCTCTGTGCGAAATGGGAGACCTGAAGCAGGTGGTCCTCCATCGTCTTTAGAAATAACTCAGTCCCCCAAGCCGTTCTCACAAATCCAAGCTGTTTTTGCTGGGAGTGATGACCCTTTTGCCACAGCCTTAAATATGAGTGAACTAGATAGAAGAAATGATGCTTGGCTTCCTAGTGAGGAAACCAGAAATGTTCTAATTTCAGTTGCCACACAACAGTACAGCACTGTGTTCATAGATAAAGAGAATCTCACCATGCCTGGATTAAAATTTGATAATATCCAGGTAAGAGTTTATTATTTTATCATAGCGTATGATTACATTCTAGAAATATAAGATCTGTGCTTCATATTGTTGCTTATGGTCACCTTGTGTGTATTACTTTAGTCTTTATTAGAAAATTTAATGTTGCTGACTACTTGTACATGAAGGGGCTAAAACCAGATTTGATTTATTCATAGAGAAATCTGTTTGGTACATTGAAAACCAGTGTTGACAGTTTCCATAGAATCCAAAGCTGGTTGTATTTTTAAGTAGTTTGTTTCTGGTCCTCCTAGTTAGTAAGATAATGCTTGCATTTGGAATATATGCAAAATCAGTATGCTGTACTACAAAGTCTGAAAGGAGTTTGCTTTGCTTGTGGAATTTGCTCTTGCAACAAGTGGGAAATAGCATTTTCACTGATGTTCGCAGTGCTCTCAATAATGTTAACACTGAATTCGCGTCGTGTATCTTCCTTAAATAGTGGAAAGGTATAGCCTTTAAGAAAGATTGAATGCTGGAGCAAGCTACTGGGAAGCGATAATTCCAGAATTAAAGGGAAAACTCCATATGAGGTCATGAAGGAAAAAACATAGTAGTGGAAACTCATTTCTTCAGAGTTCCCAACTGGCGAGAAGGCATAAAGCATTTTTTCAGAATTTGAGAATTTCACTTGGATCTATTCAGTATTTCTCATGAAGCAGTTTTATCCTGGCTGCTCAGCCAAGGCTAACTATCATTATGGAATTTTTTTTTTTTTTTTAAATAAACTAATCCTACACTTTCATATCTGTCTCTGGATAATAGAATTGTTATGAGATACTGATACAGTGTTATGAGATAGAGATACGGTGTTGACAGTTTGGATACTTTAATCCTTAATTGTAGCATAACAAAGATTATCAGTCAATAGTCAAATACAAGCAGAGAGCAGTCTCCAGTAACTTCCCAATCTGCAGGAACTGTCAGAAAAGCTTCTGTAGTGAGTCAGGTCCAGATTTGTAGGTGAATTATCTGACAAATAATAGAATTATTTGGGTTCAAAAGGACCTTAAAGACCATCTAGTCCCAACTCCCCTGCCACGGGCAGGGACACCTTCCACCAGACCACATTGTTCAAGCCTGGCCTTGAACCCTTCCAGGGAGGGGGCAACCACAGCTTCTCTGGGCAACCTGTGCCAGTGTCTCACCACCCTCACAGTAAAGAATTTTTTCTTTTGGTCTAATCTAATCCTAGGTTTCTGTCACAAGCAACAGACTATACCAGTTTTAAACATATGCCATGTTGCTGTTACTTCTTGGGTTACCTTTATCTTAAAACATTTATTTGTCATCACAGAGCCCAATAACTGGCATGAAAGCAAGCACTGTAGTAGGAAGGTATTCCTTCTCTACTCCCCCAAAAATGGAAGCGTCCTTCCCACCTTCCCAGAAAATTCCCCTAGACCTTGATGAATAATTCAGGAGTGTGTGGTATTTCTCTCCTGACAGCTAATGGCATGGACAGAAGGAATGATCCCTTCTGCAGGTCCCAAGGATGAGGGCCTCCTTATTTCAGGCCTCCCTTTTTATGATAGTTATATCTCACCTTCCTCAGTCCAGTAAAGGATTAAATGAATGTTTGTGCTGATGATTCCATGAATCTGGGCATGTGCATATATGCAGATCTACCACGCAATACATAATTGAAAAGAAGATGTTACGGCAATGTCCATGTGATTTATTTCTGCAGTAAGACCTGATGTAAAAGGGCATTCCTGCTGCTTTCTGCATTGATTATAATTTATAAGCAGTCACATGGGCATATTAGCAGGGACAAGTTTTGAAGTGCTTTATGTTTATACAACTTCCCTCACTTCCAATTACTGCTTTTCAGTGGCCTGAGTGCGTGCCTTGACTGACCTGACATCCCCTAGTTTGGTATCATTGTTCCATGCGCTTCTAGTATTGCAAATTGTGTATCTAACTGAAATTATAATTGTAGAGTACTTGAAATGTCAACTGAAACATTGTGGGAGGCATTCAGCTTCCGACAATGGTCAGTAAAGCTCTGGTATGAATAGTTTGCTAACGCTAAATGTTAATGCAAGATGTTAAACCAGGCTGCATGCAGTTGACATAGAAGTTAGTTTAAAAGTGCATTTACAGTGGACTGTAAGTATGCTTCAGGGAGGGACTGAAATTTTGTATGTCGTGTATTGAAAAGCTTGGAATTTTTTTTCCCTTGCCTAGTCAGAAAGTGTATCCTAGAATCATAGACTACCAGGCGGGAAAAGACCTCATCTGGTCCAACCTTGTTGGCAAAAGCACAGTCTAGACAAGATGGCCCAGCACGCTGTCCAGTTGAATATTAAAAGTGTCCAACATTGGGGAATCCACCACTTCCCTGGGGAGATTATTCCAGTGACTGATTGTTCTCACTGGGAAAAAGTTTCCTCTTGTGTCCAGTCGGAACATCCCCAGGAGTAACTTGCACCCATTGCCCCCAGTGTTTTCCGTATGACTCCTTGCAAAAAGGAAGTCTCCATCTTCTTTGTAGCCACCCTTTAAATACTGGAACATGGTGATAAGGTCCTCCCTAAGCCTTCTCTTCTCAAGGCTGAACAAACCCAACTCTCTCAGCCTTTCCTCATACGGCATGCTTCCCAGTCCCTTGATCATCTTTGTGGCCCTTCTCTGGACCCTCTCCAGCCTGCCCACATCTCTTTTGTATAGTGGGGACCAAAACTGAACACAGTTCTTATTACGAGTATGTTGTCTTAAGTGGGTAAATCACACCAAGAAAAATACTAAATATTCTTGATTTCAACTGCATGCTAGTTTTTGCTGATCATTCAACAACTTTTTTTAAACTACTTTGGATTGCATGCAGTACAGATTATCTGTATCTGTGCTCTCTTAAGTGTGGGAACAAGTTGGAGTACTGCTTTTTATGTTTTTTTTCCATTATGCCTTTCTTCATCAGTTTCTATCATTATATCATTTGTTTCATTACATTTATTTGTAATATTTCCTCCTCCGAAGTACTATTGGGAGGGATTATAAATTCTTCTGTATTTATGTAATTTTGCACACACTGTTTTTTCATAATCCTTCAGACTCTTCTGTCCAAAAGATTGAAATCTTGTTTCTTTATAGGATAAGTGGCAGCATTAGGGGCAAAAGTTTTCCATGTAGTGAAACAGTAGTTGCAGTCTCGTTCCCCAAAAAAACTGGACAGAAAACACAAACATACGTATGTGCTATCATTGTCCATGGGCAAAGTGTAAACATTTAATGTCAATTTTCTTTATCACAGCTAAGCTTTACTGTATTTTATTCTGCTCACCCTTTTTTAGGCAAGAGTCTTTGTGTCTTTCTTCCTGCTCTCTGTGCTGACAGCTTCCTACCTCAGTTCTTCCAGTGAATGTTTTCATGTTCCTTTAGAGAGATTTTTGAAAATATTCCTTTGTATGCTTAGATTTTTGCATGGTTACTTTCTGCTTTACCTTCTTAAATATTGAATGCCATTCTAGTTACCACAGATCTGAAAAGATACAGTGGAATTAAAACAAATTGCAAGGAAAGGAGGGATGGTGAGGAGTGCAGAGGTTCTCTCGTGTGAGTGGTAGCTAAAAGGAAGAGAACCTTTTGGCTTACAAGAGCAATAATGTTCTAAAATTCGTAAAAGGATTAAGTTAAGTAGGGGATTATGATTTACCAGGCTTTATGGCAAAGGAACTGTTGAGTAATAAGCATAGCAAAAGGAGTTACTGTTCTGCAGTCCATGTAACTGTTTTTAAGTTGTAGAATTCATTGCCCTTGGATGTACTTCCATTCAGAAAAGCAGGCTGAAAAATGAGCAAGACAAATGTCATGGGAGGTGTGTCTATCAGTGGGTGTTTAAAAATGGTAGGCAAATGTGTCCTCTGGCACAGGTGGACCATAAAGTTATGGCTGCTTTAATTTGGGAAAGACCAGTATGAGCTTATCCTGTTTCTTACAGTGTTTCCATGAACATCTGCTGTTCACTGACAGGATGGTGAACCAGACAGATCTTTACTCTGGCTGAGTGTGGGCTATAAATTACTTTCTGTTTAAAAGCAAAAATATAAGTATTTTTTAAATATTGCTTATCATTTTCCTTATTTTCAGATATTTACTTTTCTAGATTAAAACCATAAGATTGGTAAAAATCTTACAGAAATAATTTCTGCTACCTGCTTTTGGCACGTGGTGACTTCTGACACCATAGGGAATTCTCCTGTATACGGTAATGTGTACAGTCCAGCAAAGCTAGGACCTCCCCTGCACCTTGTCCGACACTGTTGGCAGCCATGGTACCTGAAGAGTGCGCAGACAGTAGTAGCACAGTTTTCAACATCTGTCAATGAATGGTACACAGATTTTAAGTAGCTGCTTGATATTAAGGTTGAATTTCCTTATTACCTGTTGAAAATCTCTAGTACACAGAACCACAAGGATGTCAGCCAACAAATGGAAAAGCACAGAAATTGATAGTTGAACAAAGATTAGAAGGGAAAATTAAGGCACAGATGGTGACGTATACAGTTATTTAGTTTATTGCTAGCAAAGATGGAAATGGAACCTGGATTTGGGCATTCTTCCTCTTAGCTGCTCCAAGTCGTAAAAAGTAGAATTAATCTTGTCCAGCTTTAGAAATCTGTTTCAAATGTATGTGTCTCAACTAGTTTCAAGTCTTCAAATCACCGTCTCAGAAAACTTGATTTCTGTGACTGATTCCTGCAGTTAATTCTTTAAAATTACGAATACTTGTTGCAGGATTGCTGTTTACTTGGTTTTAAGATCTCTCAAAGTTTATTTCCTGTCGGTACTTAAGGAAGGTTAGCTGATCATGTGCATATTTAGCTTTGATCAGTAGATTGCACCAATATCCATTATGAAAAACTGTAAAACTTACTGTATTTTGTATGATCTTTAAGCAGTATTTTGTAAGATCTTTGAAGGATAATAATAAGAGAAGCAAATAAGCCTGAATGTTTCTATGCTAACTGAAACCCAAACATTGGAAAAAAAGAATATAGCAAATAATGTGGAGCAAATCTGGAAGTTTTCATTAAAATGTTGTAAATATATATGCATTTGTATTCATTTCACACAAAAGTACTGGAAAATAAGCATTTCTCAAGGTGAAAGAACCATGTTGATCAGCTTTAATTCAACATTTTATTTTGCTAAAACAATGTTTAAAAGTATCTTGTTATGTTTTTTCTTTTTCTGTTCCGTGAACACCAAGGGAGATGCAGTAAAAGACTTAATGCTTCGCTTCTTGGGGGAGCAAGCTGCAGTGAAGAGACAAGTTTTAAACGCCAACTCTGTAGAACAGTCATTTGTAGGCTTGAAACAGCTAATTGTAAGTAACAATCTGTAATTCAATGTATATTAAATGCCATGCTTCCCTCAAGATAATTGGGAGCTCCTGACTGTGAGAAGAAAGTAAAAAAAAAAAAATAACATCTACATATTGGTCTATTCGTGATCCTGCAAAAGTACCAGCCAAAGTACAGTAGTTTTTAGTGAGAATTACACTGGGGTTTAAATTTTTGGTTTTAAACAACACAGTTAACTTCTTTATATGCAAAAGTTAGAAAAAAGGTAATTTTAAGTAACTCTGAATTTTATCAGCTCTTCATTTTTATGTAATGTAAATGGTTGCAAACCAGATTTTATTCACTTTTTTGTTTAACTACATATGTATTATATATGTTTTCACCTTAGTGTTTTACAAAAGGTAAGACATACTAGTTGTTGTAAATGGCAAGCAAACGTGATGTGATAATTGCCACTGCTTTAATTTTTTATTTTAGTGCAGGAAAATTCACCTAACTTACTTCCAATTAAAGCTTCTTTTTCTCTAAGTTAAAATCCTTTCCCTCATGTAAATATTTCAGACCTGGAATTAGTTGCATCTAGCAGTCTTGTGAACCTTGCCTTGTGCTTTAAACCATTGCGTTCCTGTATGAATTTCATTACTGTTACATGATTGAGCCTTACTTAATCTGCTGAAATGTCAAAACATTTTAGGCTAATTTTATTTATGAAAAAATGGACTAAAAATTAATGAGGAAAATCAGTGAGGAATTATAAGCGTTAGGACAGTCTCTATTTAGTATTTAACATCTTTTAATTTAACTGTGTTACATTACATGTAGAGCTCCAAAAGAGACTTTTTTATCGTGCTAGGAAAACTCTAGGTGGTCTCTGCAGGTGTTATTAAGGGAATTCAGAGGTAATTTTGGAAACTAAACCTGAAAAAACAGATTGTGTTCTCCATCCTGGAGATAGGTATTTTCTATTCATCTAAATGTTTTGCTTAACTTGCGAGATTGGGAGGGAAAAAAAAATCTTACTGAGAAATCTTGTCCCCATCGGTGTCTTAAGTAGGAAAAGCTTTTTTCTCCACTTCCTTTCCCTCTTCCAGAAGAGGAATTTTGATGTACGGGAAATGTTTTTCTATTTGTCCTGCTAGCTGTGTCCATGCAAAATGTTATTCTATGCTGCACACCATTTTGTACCTTAAATACAGTGCTGCCACTGATAATGTTTTAGCTTTGAGTCAGAAAACAAATGTTACTAAGATGGTAGTAAGCTGAATTTCCAAAATTGCACCTTTTCTGATGAGACCACCAACAGCAGCATAATTTCTAAGACAAATAGTTGTTCACCAGGAACTGAACTCATTAAACAAATAACAAAATTGTTTGTTCAGCATGGAGTTGGTCTCTAGTTGATTTGAGTGAGATTTGTACCAGTAACCCAAAGAGGAATTGCTGATTTATTGAACAACTGTACTTTTACATTTTAAATTTCTGCTATGGAATGGGTAACTGATTTGGAAATGCTTTACTAGTAGGTAGTGGTGCAGAGGTTGTGCTGTTGAACTAGTTTTACAGCTTTGAGGCTTTTAAGAGATACAGGAGTGCTAGACTGGTCCAGCACACTAATTCTATAAATCTATGTGTTTATCATTGAGGTGATAACTTCCAAATAGAGTTACACATCTGTAGAGGCTAAGTGTTCATATTTTTCAGCTGAAGACAGAAAATCTGAATTTTCAGTTTCTGAAAAGTTTTATTAATCTGGTATAGGAACTTGCATTTACCTCTAGAGCAAATAAAGGTAAGCAAGAGCTTATCTTCACCGTGTTGCTTTGTTTTACAGCAGCAAATAAAAATTGCACATCTAAGGTGCAAGCTCCAATTATGTTAGTTCCTGTTATTCCATATTTTAGATTGTTTACCCTCATTTGAACAAACAGCACAGTATTTCTTAATAGGACCTTTCTGATATTTTGAGTTGTAAGGTGTTCGCAGCCATAGGAAAATTTGGTAGTTATCATATCTAAAAACAGTCTACTGGGTCCTGCCACTATGAATACGCAATGTTTGCTCTAAGTGTGAAATCATTTCTTCAAGCTACTAGACCAGGAAAGGGTTACTAACTGCATTTTCTTAACTGATGTGAAAGTGCTCTACCAATGTAATTTACAGGGGAGAAGAATGTCATAGCTAGTGGAGGAGGACATTTTAATCACTTTAATGGTGTTACATGTAGAGTTAATGACTCCCTTTGAGTCTATTTAAAAAAAAATCATATACTATTACTTTTGCATGTGATTAATGTTGTGCTTTTACATATATTTTCAAATATGAAAAACTTGGTTACAGTGGTATGGCATACATACTTTAATAAGTTAGAAATTATCATTAAAAATAGGGAGGGGTGTGTTCCTTTATTTCTAAATCAGTGAACAATTTACAACATTTTTGTAGCTGATTTGAGAGAAGATGGGAAATACAAGTAGCACAAACAGTAACTGGAGGTTTGCATTTCTACACTGAAAAGCATGAATTTATTGGATAAAATTTCAGTGGCTTACCTCCGATTCAAAATTGTTTCCCTGAGAGACTGAATACTGTTATAAATTGTCTTCATGTATGTATATGTGAGTTCCCTTTTAATTGAAAACTTTTTCTGTAGACATCCAGTCTGCATGACTCTGCTTGACAGAAGAATTCCACCTGGGTGTTAGCTGTATTTGTTGCATCACCTGAGCTTCACTGCTTTTGTTCAGGAAAACAACATACAGTATTGTATACAAGGGAGAAATATGAACAATTCTGCAATCATGTTGCAAATACAAGATCTTTGTTCAACTGTAATTTAAAAAAACAAAGCAAAATTGACCTGCATGAGGAGGTTTCCAAGGAACAGTTATGTATGTGAGACAGGGGTATTCGGCTATTTGGTAGTATTCTTTTCAGTCCAAATCAGTGAATATCTTCATAATAGAATGAAAACACTATCTTTCAGATATAGTGAAAACTCTCATAATTAAAGTTCTTATGACACTTTATTAAAAAAGTAGGAGTGTCAAAAATGTTCCATACAGACTGCAATTTTGGCTTGTATTGGATCATTTTACTCAATTGGAAGTTTTCTTCATTTCTGAATCTAAAAAATATAACATCTTCAGTGCTCTTTTTGTATTTCAACTAATAACATTCTAGTCACCCTACATCCCATTCCTTCATCCCTTTTTGTAGAAAATAGGCTTATTTTGAAGGCATTGGAATGTACAGAATATCTGTTACTTTTAACTTTGACCAAATGGACCAGAAGCATTACCAGATCTTTAGATGTGGACTTACCAGAATTTGTGATTCATGTTGTTGAGTCTATTTCAGATGGGTTTTAGGCTGTTTCCTTTTATTTCTTTTAATAATAGGGGATCATCATAGCCTTATCTGGGTTCATATTTTGAAAATGGTGGAATGCAAGTCAGTGAAATGAGGGTTTGAGAGTTGATCACCTTACGCTGTAATTTTTGTCTCTTAAAGCTGCAGATACAGTATTTGATTAGGTTGGTGGTGCAATCAAAAGAAGCAGTAAGATAATAAACATACTGCATTTGTTCCAAAAAAAAGATATGTCAGACTTGTGTGCCAAGTAAGCTCTCATTAAAGAGAGAGGGAAAAAAAAAAAGTGGATGAGGAACGGGGCTCTGTAACACACAAGTCTATCACCTCAAGCTACATAAAACCTTTAGTTTCTACCTCTACAGGGTAAAAGCCTGACAAAATCCTGATGCTAGCCTCTGCTTTTTTGATTTAAACCTACAGTAATTATATTCATATCTCAGACAGTTTAAGAAGTTCAATGGAAAGATTAAAAAATTATTTGGCTGGTTCTTTCTTAAAAATACAAATCTTTTTTATTTGAAACCTGTTTTAATATGCAGTTTTCCCATCCATATGTAAACATCCTCCAGGACCTGTTCTGATTTTGCAAAGAATAGAGTTCTGCAAGGAGTAATGCAACCACATTGTCTGCTGGGTGGCTAATAAGCTTGTCCTAGCTTTTGTGTGTGTATAACAGTCAGTACTGAAATGCTTTGTTTTGGTTTTCTTTTTTAATTTTTTTGTTATGCTATATGGACCCAAAAAAATTCCTTCTCAAGTTAAATATCTAGACTAGTAGTATGTAAAAAGCACAGAAAACATATAAGCTGGTAGCTTTCATTAAAAAAACAACAGCTCCATACTTTTTGTGGAAAAAAAGATTTGCTGATGTCGTATGTGGAGAATTTTCTTCTGCCAGGCTGGTACTGTGTTAGTGAGCTACTTGGCAATAATATTTGGTTGACAGTATTTTCTCTAGGAGAGAATAATGTTTCTACTATGGCTGCTGGACGACCATGTCCTGATCATCACAGAATAATTATTATATTCTTTGAGAAAGTTCTTAAGTCTTTTTGATGCTGTATCTGAAGCTGTAGTATCCGTCTTTACCTTGAGCCTCTACTTATGACTTACAAACAAAATACATCACTATTACTTTCAGGAACAAGGGGCCTGGGTTGTTAGGACTGTGTGGCCATAGACCACAGGAAATGTCAAAGTGACTGACCTGTGAGGTTTTGAGGGGTGTGTGGAATAACTGGATAAAGATTTCTGGTGGACTGGCAGCTCTAGCAACTGCAAGTCTGGTACAATTTGCCAGAGACAATAATGTGTCCTGCTAATTGCAAATTAAGTTATGCTGCCAGCAGCCTTCTATTAAGCTTCCAGAGAGAATTATGCTCCATGACCAGCAGGCAGCTCTAATTTTAAAATCATCATGAATATTATCTTTCATTTTCCAGAAAAGACTGTTTTTAGGATGGTTGTCAGACTTCTACTGGCTGTCTTGTTCCGTGAAGAAAAAGTGGGTTTTGTTCATGCCTGAAATAGAATTTTAAAAATTGTAGCACCTAAGTTTGTCATAAATGTTCCTTTATTATTTTTTAATCCTAACTCTCACCTGGGAAGAAAAGTGCTTTTAGAGTCTGTGTCCACTTCTGTTCTAAGGATAAGAAGCAATTAATTTGTGTCTGCAGAAGAGGAATAAATTTCAGATAATCCATGTCAGTGTCTTTTTGCTTTACTAAATTGATACAGATATATGTTGAAGGATGTTATAAATGCATTATCAATTCCTGCTCTTCCGTAAGAGCATAGATGTCTCAGAAGCTGCTGTGCTACTTTGTGGTCTTGCTATCAGCCAACTTCTCCATTTCCAGTGGAACTCAAATTTTCATCTGGGGTTTGACCGTGCAGGGGAGAGAGATGAGGTGCTCAGTGCACGGTGATCTCTGTAGCAGCCCTCTGAACTATGTGGCTGCAAAATGAAGGCCAGAGAGTATGAAAAGTCTTCAGCTATTAGTACTAGTTTTTCTATGTAACTGTTTGCTGTATTGACATGTTTTCTAAACTCTAAACATTGGAGAGCATTTAATAAAATACCAATTCAACGTCAGTACCTGAGCTTTGCAGGCACCAACATAAATATATTCTGTTTCTTTACATTTCATCAGATAACATGACAGTTTGCTATTAATTATTTTTTAATGTATTTAAGAACTATTTGAGAAAAGATCACTTTCAGAAACAAGTAATATTTGTTTTATAGTGACCTGCTGGATACATGTCTCTTGAAAAATTCTTCTGTATGATAGAGAAGTATAATAGCCTAAAACCTGTGAAGCATTAGTCTGTGTTTTAAGTTTTTGATGGTGTTAGCTATTTGCATAGCTGCAATAGCATATACAAGGCAGAAACATTAATAGGATGAGAGTATGACAAGACAGTTTGACTTGTCTAACTAGGAATGATTTTGTTTTATGAATAAAAATATATGTTTAAGAATATTTTAAAGTTAGCCATGTAGTAGAAATTCAGATGTTTATATTTTACAGTTGAAACAATTGTTACTGTTCTGAATTTATCATTTGGGGCATGGTATTGTTTCTTGTCCTTTGTTCTTAATTGATACGAATTCTGTGTTCTGGGCAATGTTAGGAAAGTCTGTTTTCATTAAATGAAGTGCACTAGGGGTTATAATCTGAAATACTGAAGTCAGTGAGGTATTAGGTATTAAGTACTTTGTAGCAGAGTAACTTGGATGTGTTTATTGAAATATGGCTTCCTTTTGAGGAGAAAACAATATTGTAAGTATAATAGTATATTCAAGTATATTAGCAAACATGATACAGCTTTAAGTTTAGAATCCCATACAATGTTTTATATTCTTTTGTTTTAGTGATCTGATAATACTAATGCTTAATTTCACTTCTTGCCTAATTAGATGTGCAACTTTGACAAATGACATTCTGTTTCTCACCGGCCAGCTCTCCTGACCTTGTCATTATTACTGATGGGTACATGTAGCTGCTTCGGGCAAAATAAGCAGTTGTGCATTTTAGGGACTTTATGATTTTGCTACTTACTCTTTTCTTCTTCCCAGAGCAGTAAAAACTGGAGGGCAGCAGTTGACCTGTGTGGGCGGCTTCTAACTGCACATGGTCAAGGCTATAAAAAAAGTGGGCTACCTACTAACCATACAACAGATTCTTTACAGGTATGTTTAAAGATACACCCTTGTCACTTTTTTCCAACAGTCTTCACTGTGGGATTTTTTTTAACATGAGCAAATTTCTTTTGCGAATTCTTACCTAAAAACTGATCTTATTAAAGCATTGTAGCAAGTCACTTTTTTTGTTTGCTTATGTAAAGTAGGTCTTCGTTTAAAACAGAATTTTACTTAAAAAAAAGTAATTTTATCTTGATTGTATGTTTTTAAAGGTGATCACACTATTAAAAATGAATGTGTTTTACTATTTTGGAAGGCTTATTGTGCTAAAGTTCATGGATGCGATCTAGATTGTGAACTCTGTAGTAAGATTTTGAACATTAGAAGTGTGTTTCATGATGATAAGAAAATAAGAACCCAAATTAATAAAGGTTCATGAAACATCACGGGTGTTTTACTGAACAAAATGAGACCAGATGACAACACTTGCTTCTGGCCCCAGTAACTATAAAGCTCATGGAATTTCACTAAAATCATAACATATTTTAAGAATTACATAAAATTGGAAAAAAAAAAATAAAAATCAGATTGATGATTTTTACATGCTAACTCAATTTCAAGAGAGATGTTCTAACTTTAAAGCAGGCTGGTTTTTAAACGTATCTTCAAAATCCCAGTACCTTTACAAACAACTAAAACATCAGTCCTCTGTATTTTGTTTTAATGATCTTATGAAAAGTATTCTGTGAAAGAACATGTAAATATAAATCTTGTTCCTATCACTAAGTAACATACAAACTCTTAACTTTATCAGAAAAACTTAAAATGTTGAAATTGTATTTGGATGTGGCTTGTGATTGAAGCTAATAACAGACCTTGTCTTTTCCTTTTTTTGTATGTATTTAGCTGTGGTTTGTGAGACTAGCACTGTTGGTTAAATTGAATCTATTCCAAAATGCAGAAGTGGAATTTGAGCCATTTGGAAATTTAGACCAGCCTGATCTTTATTATGAATATTACCCTCATGTATACCCCGGACGAAAAGGTAAGATACTTGATTTATAAAATGCTTTTTAATATTGGCATTTTTACCAGTCATTATGAAATAATGGATTCAGGTTTTTTTAATTCTAAAGCACTGATGAAATTTGGATTATTTATTTTATTTTTTCTTTCCCCCCAGAAGAACATGATTAACTACTATGTTAACGTATTGTTTGCATTTTGGAGGTAGCAATAAGGAGTTAATCATATGGAGTATAACTAATCCATCACAATATAGGTAGGCACTGTATTTCATGATACTGACATTGCACTGATTTGAAAAAGGAATGTTTCTAACAAGTAAGTATAGTAAAGTAGTTTAGTTCTAGGGTATTGAAATTTTAAAACCCACAAACTTTAATAGTTCATATTACCCAGAAACTGGCTGTGAAAGGTGATGAGAGAGTTTGTGGAAACAGAATCTATAAGCTTTTCCTCTTAAGTTCATCCAGATACTATCAGTGTGCTATTTTTAACACATGCGTGTCCATGCACACATGCTAATGCAGATGTTATTTTTTTAGATTTCCCAGTTTCTAAGATTTAAAAAAAATAATAATAAGTTGAGAGCTACTTTTATAGTTTTTCTTAATTAAAAAATACTGGTTAAATGTAATATTATTTGCCTGGTAATTGAAACTAAATAAAAATCAATAATTTACTATGTATCCCGTTGTTGAAGAGGCAAAAAGACACCACCAGCCTCAATTCTTTATAAGTGGTTTATCTCAAGTTATAAATGCACTACTTCAAGCTGCTCCCAGTAGCCCATAGGTTAACCAAATAGGGTTAACCAAATAACCTATCGAGGGTATTCTAGTCCTTCAAGAGTCTGGAGTTGAAAAATTGCTGTTTTTAAGAGCAATTTAATTCCTGTTCAGACTATTTTGAAATTTATTTTTTTCTAAATCTGTTACTTAAAAATAAATAAATCTCTGATGTAAGTGCACTGTTGAGTGATCTTGCTGTTCTTTGGCTTTCATATTTGAACTGCAAGATATAATAAAATACTTGTAAGTAACAGTTGTAATGCACAGTGCCACTCTCTGGAAAAGTATAGTCTGTTTGACGTAAGATGCTGGTAGTCTTGATGGGGTAACCTGGAAAGTTACTGACATTTTGCGATTGCTGAGGAAGGGACGATGGTGTCAAGAATGTTCAGGATCTTTTGCAGAAGATTGTTTCATCTATTTTAGTGATGCAAATGATCAGTTGTGGCCCAGCAAGGCCAATATGGACTGTCTGGAATAAGTCCCTTTGACCTTACTCATCATCTTTCAGGCAATCACAGGCAAAAATTTCCTGTTTTGCCTTGAATATATTCAATCATTGAGAAGGAAATGTGTTACTTTTAAGAGTGAGAGAGGTTGAACAGCTCTTTGGATATGGTTATATTTTGGCAGCTTTGTGCATGATGCAGTGCTGCACACAAGAAGTAGCCTTCCCCAGGCCATATGTATGTTTCCACATCTTTTTCAGTATTAAAATTTAGTTGTTTTGCCTAAGAAAAGAATCCTTGCAGGTCATGTCAGTATTTGAGGCATTTCAGTCCTCATGCCACAGGCCTTACGTGTAGTAACAGTTCTGGACAATCTGACCAGCTGTTTCAGGCACCTGTCCAGTGACTGAACTTTGGGTCCAAACTGTCTTTGCAGCAACTACTCAGCCACGGCAGCTATTTCATACAATTTATGAGGGTAGCTATGGTAAAAAGGTGAGCATAAGGAAAATATTCTGTTTCATTATCATATGCCTCAGTTCATTTTTAACAGTTGAACATACCAACCAGGACCATGATCTGATCATCTGTAAGGAAAATAAGCTCAAGGTTGGATGGAGCTGACCTGCTGGTTGTAGATCTCTCCTATAAATACAATGTGATTAAGATGTAGAAACAGCTATCAAACCTTCCGTATGTAGTTTTGAGGAGAGAAAGAGATGCTACTTGCAGGGATGTAGGAGAGAACAAGGAATTAACAAGGAATTCTCTTCCAACTAGCATTAAACCATGCAGTGCTGGATTATGGATAAAGAAATTCAGTATACATGCATTGTTAACCAGCTAATTTAAATAATAAAATAGGTATAAATCATTCATATATTTTGGTTGAAATGTATTAGTAGGAATCCACAATCTGCTGCTGTTTGGAAATTTAACGTATCATTTTGTGGTGTAACAAGCATAAAAGGAAGAGTTTTGTTTCAACATTTTAATTTTGATTCATGGTATATAAATGGAGTAAGCACTTAAAAAACAGTTTAAGAAATGAGAGTATAAATATAAATACTGCACACATTAATTGTAACACATATAATATTTTGCATAATTTCTTTGTATTCAAAGTATTCATAATAAGAAAAGTAATACATTAGAAGGTTTTCTGTGTTTTCTGTGCTTGAAGTAAGGAAAGTTTATACACCTGAGCTTCTTACAGCAGTGAGGATAGTCCTTCATCCATTAATCTCCGAGAAATATACCTCAAAGATTTTAAATTCCAAGTAAATGTATGAGGAGTAGAAGATGTTTTTTCCATTAATTTAATTTAAAATGGCCAACACAGCACTCTTAATTTTCCTCTGAAGCTCTCCCAAGGCTCTTTCCCTTTTGGCAACGCTTCTAAGGTCTGTTTTGTCCTGAGTTTTTTGTATGGCATTTGCAGCCATGCTGTTGTCTTCATCATGGCTGTTAAGTTCTAATTTTTCTGAAATCGTCCTTTCCTGGTTTCTGTGGTCTCTTTCTTCAGTCATCTCCATTGCCTGTAGGTGAGCACCATCAGGGGGAGGTGAGAGTTCAAATGTGCTGGAATCCTTGTATCATCCAGTGAAATTAAGTCACTCTGATCATTCCTGTTTGACAGGGGGCAGAGATCAAACCATTCTCATCTTCTAGTGTTGTGGTTGGAGCCCAGAGGGTAACTGAGCACCACAAAGCCACTCATTCATCCCTTCCATCCCAGCAACAGGAAGGAGAAAATGAGCAAAGCCTCAGGATTCAAGATAGGACAGGGAGGGATGAATCACCCATTACGGGTCACAGGCAAAAAGCAGACTTGTTAGGGGAAGAGAAAAAGAACATACATTTATTACAGGCACTAACAACACCAACACTTAACAGACAGAGTAGGACAGTGAGAAGCATTGCCACATCTTGAGAACACCTTCCCCCCACCCCTCCCTTCTTCCCGGGCTCGGCTCTGCTCCCGATATCTCTACCTCCTCCCCCAGCAGCACAGGGGGCAGGGAGTGGGGGGTGCAGTTGGTGCTGCCATTTCTTCCATCTTTGGAGGGGGGGAACTTCTGGAACTTCTTCTCCCTGCTCCAGCATGGTCCCCCTCTCACAGGAGACAGTCCTCCACAACTTTTCTCCAACTGGAGTCCCTCCCACAGGCTGCAGCATTTCCTGAGCTGCTCCAGAATGGGACACCCCCACAAGCTGCAGCCTTCCCAGTGCTGAACTACAACAGTGGGGGCTGCTTTCCACAGGGTCCCAGCCTCCTTCAGGAGCAGTCAACTTAAATGGTGCCCCCACCACCCCCCTGTGTGTCAGCATATGCTCCACCATAGGTCTTCATGGGTATCAAGGGGGGCCGCCCTGCCGTCTCACCACAGGATACAGGGGGGTCTCTGCTCTGGCACAACTCCCCCCTCCTTTCTTCCTCCGTTCCTCCACTGACCTTGGTGTTCACGCAGCTCCCCCAACTCTTCCTCACAAGTCGGACTCCTCCTCACCACGTCCCTTCTTAAATACATTATCACAGAAGCACAGCCACTGGCACTGACGGGCTCAGCCCTGGTGCAGAGGTGGGCCTCGCTTGGAGCCCCGGGAGCTTTGAGAAGCTTCTCACAGGGGCCACTGCTAGAGCCCCCTCCCCTGCTACCAAACCCCCACCATTCACTCAAACCCAGGACATCTAGTAAAATCTTAAAATTATTCATTTATAGATTGATTTCTTCTAAATTCATCTGTGGAGAGAAGCTGAAAAGACCAATTTTATATGTAATTTTCTTGTGATAGGTAGGTATTTAGGTCAGGAACGCTGTTCCAGATTGCTTCTGGCACATCTCCATTGTACTCTGTGGGGTATATAAGGCTGAATTTTTGTCATCACTCTCATGACTAATGGATTTCAGGATTTTTATGGGTTTTTTTTAGGTTTTGTCTTTATATTTACACAGTCTGACCCACTTCTGTTCATATCGTTTGTTTCTGTTCTTCATGAGACTTCATAAACTCTCTTGTATGATAGATCAGCTAGCCTGAGATATACTTTCCATTGGTAATGCCTGTGTGTTTCTGAAAGAGTGAGAGCCAACAATTAAAATGGAACATTAAAATGCTATTTCATTATTTTATGAGATAATTTGGTCTTGTTTCTGGTTAATAGACCAGTAAGTTACAGAAAAGTTAATGCTAGCAAAATCAGTGTTCTAAAGCTACAATAATTGAGAATAATTTATTTTGAATTACAAAGAAAAAAACCACCACTGTTCAAAAGTAAAAATTGGATTTTTTTTTTTTTATTCCTCTGACCAGAAGTTTATATGTATAGAGGTGTGGGGTTTTTTTTCCTTTCCCCTTTTCATTCTCCTTGGAATTATACAGGATCATCTGTATTTCTCTAACATGAAATCAGTCTTCTGTTGTCTGGTGGAAAGTGCCTAAATAAGGAACGTATTGTTAAATATTTAGTTGTATGTGCTCTAGAAACTAATTTCATGTTGTACACCTTCCCATGAACTGTTACTAATTCTAGCACAAGCTTTTTTTAAGGTGTGGCTGTGTTGTGGCCATAGGATTGCACTAGTGTGTGCTGCAATACGCTGATGCTTTCAGAAGGATAGTGACGATTTTAAAAAAATATGTATATTATATGTATAAAATATATATATATATTTCTCTCAAAGTAGTGTGAGTCTAGGCATCACAACTATTGTTTTAGCATATTTCACTAGGTCTGTGTTACTTTTGTGACTTTACTCATATCCGCTGTATTTAGAAGT